CCACTGAAGGCCCCAGTGGCTGTGTTCGCATGCGCCTGCCGCACCCTTTTTTCGGCACACCCCTCACACGCTTCGTGGCCTCGCAGGGAGCTCAACCGACGGCCTCAGTGGCTGTGTCGCATGCGCCCGCCGCACCCTTGTCGGCACACCTTTCACACGTTTCGTGACGTTCTAAGAAGCTCAACCGAAGGCCACAGCGGCTGCACCCGCATGCGCCCGACGCACCCGTGTCGGCACAGCCCTAACACGCCTCGTGGCCACACAGGGAGCTCCACCAAAGGCCCCACTGGCTGCGTTCGCATTTGCCCGCTGCACCTATTTCAGTACACCCTTCACACGCTTCGTGGCGACATCAGGAGCTCCACTGAAGGCCCCAATGGCTGCGTTCGCATGCGCCCGCCGCTCCCATTTCGGCACACCCCTCACGCGTTCCGTGGTCCCGCAGGGAGTTCCACCGAAAGCTCCAGAGGCTGCGTTCGCATGCGCCCGCCGCGCCCATGTTGGCACACCCCTCACACGTTTGTGGCCCCACAGGGAGCTTCACCGAAGGCTCAGCAGGTTGCCTTCGCATGCGCCCGAGGCAACAATTTCGGCAAACCAGTAAGACGTTTCGTGGCCTCACAGGGATTCCCGCCAAAGGCTCAAATTACCTCGGTCACATGGTTTCGCCGCACCGATGACGGCACACCCCTCACACGTTGCATGGCCACATAGGGAGCTCCACTGAAGCCACCGCTTTTGGCACATCGCTGACACGTTTCGTGGTCTCATAAGAAGCTCCACGAAAGGCAATTGTGTCTGCGTTCGCATGGGCCCGCCGCACTCATGTCGGCATTCCCCTCACATGCTTCGTGGCCCCACACGAGCTCCACCGAAGGCCCAAGTGACTGCATTTGCACGCGCCCGCCGCACCAATTTCGGCACACCGCTCCCACCCCATAGGGAGCTCCAGCGAAGGCCCCAGTGGCGATGTTCGCATGCGTCCACCGCACCCATTTTCGGCTCTTCGCTCACACGCTTCGTAGCCCCATAGGGAGCTCCACCGAAAACGATACCCCCAATCGCGTTATTCACAACTGCTCATGATTGGGTCCTTCGCCTGGTTTGTCGTTTTCTCTCTCTCTCTCTCTGACACTATCTCTCTCTCTCTCCCTTCTCTCTCTTTCTCTTTCTCTCTCTCTCGGTCCCTTTCCTTTTTTCATACATATACACATGCATACATACATGAGCCATTAAAATCCATATTTACATGAAAGCCAAGCTGAATAAATAGCCCTCCCCCGCCTGGGGCTCCGCCAACTCCGCTACCATTTCTGGCAAATCTCCTGTACCACCTTCCCGGGCGTCCAAGGGAGCCCCTGGAGAGCCTGAAGATGGCCCCCGAGACAGCCCAAGAGTGCTCCAAGGTTGTCCAAGCCGGCCCCCCGATGGCTCTCCAAGCTTCCCAAAGCAGTCCAGACCCCCCCAAGAGGCTTCCAAGCGCCCCCGAACCCGAAGAGTTCCGGGGAAGCCTCCGAGATGCCAACGTCATTGACAAGACCTTCGGGGAACTCGCGGGTGTCGGAGGGCACCAACTATACACCAACACCGATCCTGGCCAGGATCACCCTGGGCCAGGATCGGTGTTGGTGTATAGTTGGTGCCCTCCCAGGGTGTGCTGCTCTTCACCACCCACCAAATCACCCCAACCCAACCCGAAGGTTCAGATTTACCCTCGATTTCTAGTGGGGGGGGGTCGGGAAACCTCGAAAAAACACGCGTGGAACCCTTACCCCCCCCCCAACCCGAAAATCGGGTCTTCGGGTTGGGTTGGGGTGGTCTGGTAGGTAGTCAGCTCTCTCGCACTTCCGCCCCCGAGATGCTCCCGAGGCCTGCGCAGAGAGGCCCCCTAGAGAGAGCGAGCTGCAGGCCCGGCTCCCGCGGAGGCCTCCCCCCCCCGCGGCGCGACGGGGCCCCGAGAGAGAGGCCGCCTCCAAGAGGGGCGCCCCGCGGCCGGCCGCGGGCGCCCCGCGGAGGCCCAGCAGGCGCCCCGAGCGAAGGACTGCAAAAACAAAAACGAAGGATTGCAAAAAAAAACATGGGTTTTTTGGCAATCCTTGTTTTTTTTTGCAATCCTGGTTTTTTTTTCCAATCCTTCGAACAAAAATGTTTTTTTGTTTTTGTTGCAATCCTTCGTTTTTTTTGCAATCCTTCGCCCCGACGAGCTCCTCGAGGCTTCCAAAAAGAAATCGTTGATTTTCCTTCTGTTTATGTTGGGTTTTCAGCCTGTTCGCCTCTTCAACTGTCCGACGCTCCACGAGGGCCCGAGAAGCCTACAGGACCGCCCCAAAGAGGGCCCCAAGACAGCCCAAGAGGCACACAAGAAGCCCCGGCGAGCTCCCGGGAGCCGCCCCGGAGGCAGCCGGCGCCGAGGAGGGCCCCGGGCGTCGGTTGGTGGTCTCCAAACCAGGTGGTGAGACACCCGGTGGTGACCCCGATTTCTTCCAAAAAATAATTCTGGGTCACCACCGGGTTTGGGGACACGCGGTCGCCACGAGGTTTTGCGTTTCCTGGGCCAGCCAGCGCTCGAAAACCATTACCCAAATCGCCCAAAACTCACCACCGGGTGTTCTCACCACCACGTTTGGGGACCACCAAGTCGGGGGTGGACAGGCCTCCTGCCCCGACGCGTCGATTCAGGAATTGGCCGTTGTCGGCTCGCGAGCGGGCGTCGCGGCCGTCGTTGTTGCGGGTCCAGGTCCGTCGGCTTCGCTTCCAGGCCGCTTTCACTACGGGGAGGTGTACTAAAGGGAGGTGTGTCCACCGCCGAGAGAGGGCGTTAGGAGCTCCCAAGAGGAACGCATCTCAGAGGCGTCTTTGAGCTCTCTCTTGGGGTGCCTGCGCAGGCCTCGGCAGCGCGTCGGAGGCGGCCATGCGAGAACACGAAAAGGTCGTCGTGCTGCCTGGTTTTTGCTTGCAGTGAGGTTGGCCTCTCGAGCGCTTCCCCGAGCTCCCCGGGGGACTCGTGGAGGGCTCTTGGGGCGATCTTGGGGGCCTCCAGCGTCAACTTGAAACACATGATGTTCAATTCCTGTTTTCAAGTTCGCCCATCCATCCCTCCGTTCCCTCCTACCCAGGCTTTGGCGTTCCCCGAGTGCGTTTCCGTTTCCTCCATCCCTCGTTGTCCGTTCTTTTTGCTCTCTCTCTCTCTCTCTCTTTCTCTCTCTCTCTCTCTCGCTGTTGGTTCTCCTCCGTCTCCCGTTCCACATCCTTCTCTTTCCTCTCCTCCTCCCATCTTTCCTTTCCGCCTTCCTCCCCCCGCATCCCTCATGCGTGTTTGCCTCCACCATCCCTCATCCTCATCTGTCCGTTACTCCTTCCTCCCTCCGCCACCTTCACCCAGCATCTTGCCCCACTGAGTGGTATATAAGAGGCCCAGATTGGAACGGGATCCCTCAAATCCAGTTTTTTTCAGGCCGACACCATTCGACATTTCGAGCCCAGACGCCAAGAGCTCCGGAGAGACCCCCGAGGCGCGCCCAAGAAGTCCCAAGAGACCACCAGGAGACCCCCACCAAAAACCGAAGAGACCCCACCCCAAGAAACCCCCAAGAGCCCCCCAAGAACGCCCCTCAAAGGCATCCAAGGCATCATCGTTTCCCTAGGCTGTTTGGAGTTCGTGGGCGTCCCCCCATCGAATGTCCTGAGTCCTCCACGTGGCTGCCTTGCGCGCCTTCCTGGGGCATTCCTGGTCGCTTTGCAGAAAATAGCAGGAGGAATCGCCCTGCACGCATACCTTTGGCGCGAAGTCGTGCTGGACGTCGCCTCCATTAGAAGATTGAGCTGCGTCATCTGTCTGGTACCGTATGTCGTGCAACATCTTGACGCCTCCTAGCAAGGCACAGTGCGACGTAAGGCCCAAACACCTCCAAGATAGTCCGAGGCTGAGGGGCCCTCCAGATGCAGAGAAGATCTTCAAGACCTCGAGAGACGGTCCACAGGCCACGAGCCTCCCGAGTCCTCCCAAACGTTACCTTCGGACAGCTGCCCGGTGCATCTGCTCATAGCAGCAGGATCTTCTGAGGCTTGCTTACCCAGCGGCTCCTGACGCGTCCATCAGGGAGTGCGCTCCCAGATGGTGATCTTTGCGGGCTGATGTCCATACTCGTCCAGTCTGGCAAGCTGACTTGAACTGCGCAAGAAGCTGAGGGCGCGCGGAGCGCGCGCGTGCTTTTCGAGTGCATAGATGTGTATATATATATATAGATATATTTATATATACACATATGTGTGTGCATCTAAATGCATATATGTGTATATATGTATATATTTATATCTGTGCATATATGTATATTAAATATCCGCCGACGGGTGTCGTAGCGAACTGGGAACCCCAAAGTAACCCTTATCGTGTTATGCGCAACCGGAAAAAAAGGAGCTGCGTACGTTGAAAGCAAAGGTGGCAGATTGACGCGAGGATGAGCAGGTGGATTGCCCTCCGCGAGCGGCTTGCCTAGCAGCATGGTACGTGGGACATATGCTAATCTGGATGCACAGGTCTAGAGACGGGGCGTTCCCGCCTCGCCTTCGGCGCATCTTCCCCTCGGCGGAAGCTGGCGCAGGTAAAATGGCGGCGTGTTCGCCGGCGGTAGTAAGACGGCGATTCCGGGTATCGTCGCCGCATCTTTTTGCACAGGCTTCATCCCCCACATGCCGCCTGCCCTTTGCGAGTATGTTGAGCCAACTTGCCTAATGGAGGATGACGATTAATAAATAACCGGGGGTCGTGTTCACGCGGAGGCGCCCAGGATGACGATTAGAAAAAACCAGCCGCGGGCTGGAAAACTATTTGTTTCATTGTTCTCCTCCAGTCAGAAAATTATGCCGAAAGAGTAGAAAACTTGTTTTTAATCGTTCACTCCCATTTTTTAAATTAATCGTCATCCCGCATTACCCCTCTTCGCTCGCCTTTCTCCTCCCGTCCTGCGTGGCCTGCCCTGGCCGCAGAGCGTGCTCCCCAGGAGGTGGACCTGAACGACCTGCCGCCGTGCAAGAGCCACTTGCAGGCGCGCCCTCGCTACCATGACTCGGGCCGGACGAGAGGGGGGGGATTGGGAAAGGGGGGGATACTAAAACGACGCGAAGATCGGGACAAAATCGGATCGGGATAACTCGAAATCTCTGAGAATCGGCGGGTTTGGAGGATGTATTGGGCGCCGCGGCCGCTCCAGAGCGTTCCGGAACGCTCTGAGAGCGCTCCGGAACGCTCTGGAGCGATTTATCCCGATCCTAGCCCTGTTTTAAAAGAGGGGGTACGAAATTAGCTGCATGCAGCTGGTTTCGGCCCCACCGATGTGGCCCATGCCTCGATACATCAGCGCCCCTCCGGCGCCGGGAGGCGCCAGGAAAATCAGCTGCGTGAGCTGATTCTCACCCCCCCCCCCTTTGCTACGCCCCCCTTTCGCCCGACCCGAATGATGTAGCGAAGCCTTCGGTAGTATCAATCAGGTGAAGCATGGTGGTAGAGGTACTCAGGGATCGTTTCAGACATGCGGGTGAGTCTTGCGCCGACCCCTGCAGACCGCTCAAGTCTTTTCGGTGCGGGTGAGAAGTTGTGAGAAGTGAGAAGGGGGAACGGGGCAACAGGTGGGGATTGATGGATGAGGAGGCAGACGCGGACGAGTAGCCCGCGCTCAGGTATCGTGAGATGGGGCAGGGGTGGCCAACTAACGAGCCCAGAGCACCCAGGAGCTGCGGAAGAACAACTTGAAGTACACCGACGGGAAGAACGCGCCCTCCATATCTCTCGGCTGCATCTGGGACAGCCCCGCTGGCCCTGCCTTCGCTCGGACAGCAGGTCGGTACTGGGCCCAGTTCTGGACAGTACCAAGGGTTTGATGCACCGAGTTTGGACGTTTCTATGCCCGTCCGTTGCACACAGAGCAGCCTCGTGATGCATCTCTTGCAAGGGGAACTCGATACTGCTCACGCGTGGCTTCATGACGGGTTACTTTTCAGCGGAGGGTGCTATTGTGTGTTCTCCCATTCATCTTATGTATTTGCGCATGCTCGCACAAGGACCAAAGCCATGGGCTCGGTTGCAAATCATATTGTGTTGCAATGGCGGCTCATGATATTCTGCAATGGCGATTCGTTGATGCAGTTTGTGTTATATCTTGCGCCACGAATGACGCCCAGTGCATGCCACTCTCTCCACTAGTACGTGAGAGTTTTCCTGTCAGAACCACACTGGGCCGACAAGTCGCTCCCGATTCGCAGGCCGTCCTGGCCGCCACACACGCCAAGAAAGTGGTGGGCGGGCTGCGGCGTATGTGAGAAGCTGCTGGTCGGGAGCGGCCAAGAGGGGGGTGTCCAAGGGGGGGGGGTGCAAATCATGACCGGCGGCATGTGCGCGGCCCAGCGGGGGGGCCAGGGACGTAATGAAACAAAGAGAGGCGCCACGAGATCTGGGGAAAGATCATGGCCCCCGCCATGATGTCCACCCCCCCCCTAGTCATCACCCCCCTCTTTGCCGCCCCCGAGAACTGGAGGGGAGGGGCCCCGGGGGGGGGACCAGGAGCGGAGAGCGGAGCGGAGGGCAACCCGAAAAGCTTCCGCTCCTGCCTCCAGTGCGGGAGGCACGGGGGGGGGGGGGGGCGCGGGGCGGCGGCCCAGCACGGCGGCGGCGCCGTGCGCCCCCCAACCCCAGGCCCCCGACGCCGTGACCCCAGGCCCCCGACGCCGTGACCCTGCAGCAGCGTCGGGGGGGGGGGGGGCCGCGGGGCGGCGGCCCAGCACGGCGGCGGCGCCGTGCGCCCCCCATCCCCAGGCCCCCGACGCCGTGACCCTGCAGCAGCGTCGACCCCCCGACGTCGTGACCCTGCAGCAGCGTCGACCCCCCGAGGTCGCGACCTTGCAGCAGCGTAGACCCCCGAGGTCGTGACCTTGCAGCAGCGTCGACCCCCGGCGGTCGTGACCTTGCAGCAGCGTAGCCCCCGACGTCGTGATCTTGTAGCAGCGTCGACCCCTTCCCCGGGGGCCGGTGCTGCATCCCGCGTCTTCTTTGCTGACGGCCCTAACTGGGGCCCAGTGAGGGCCCCCGGAGGCCGAGGATAGTGAAGCATGCCTCCCGTCGTGGCTTTGGGAGCCCCTTAGGGGGTCCTCCGTTCAAATTGGAACGCCACAGAGAAGATTCGCGCGGCCCCTGCGCAAGGATGACACGCGCAAATCGAGAAGTGCATCCATTTGTTGTTGTTGTTGTTGTTGTTGTTGTTGTTGTTGTTGTTGTTGTTGTTGTTGTTGTTGTTGTTGTTGTCGTTGTTGTTGTTTTGTTATATATACACATAAAAACGCCTCTTGTTGTGGCTTTGGCTCGCGGCGCGAGAGGGGGCCGGGGCCCCCCGCGCCCGCGCGCGGCGCCTGGCCGGAGCGGTGGGCCTGCGGGGCGGTCCCTCGGGGCGCAGCTGCCCCCGGGGGCGTGCCGCCCGAGGCGGCGGCGGGCGATAGGGGGCCACATGCGAGCCCTACCCCTACCCCCCACGATTTCTGAAGGGGAGGGTGGGGTTCCATTCGTTCGGGAGCTCCCGAGCGAAGTGAACCCCACCCTCCCCTTCAGAAATCGTGGGGGGTAGGGGTAGGGCTCGCATGTGGCCCCCTAGAGAGAGGGGCGGAGGCCTCGGCTTACGTCGGGCGTGCCCCCTTACAGGGGGACAGGCCCGACTTAAGCCCAGGCCTCCTAGATGGGGTCGGAGTAGACGGGGTCGGAGGATCGCGCCGCATCGCCGATGCATCGCCGACGCGGCTCGATGTGCAGTCCGCTTTGCTTCACGACAACGTCGCCGGAGGTCCCCCAGCCTTGTGAGAGGTGTTCTGCAAGCCTCCCCCGAAGACGCCAGAGAAACCTCTAGGGGGCCACAGGCGGACCCTACCCCTACCCCCCGCGATTTCTGAGGGGGAGGGCGGGGTTCACTTCGACCGGGAGCTCCCGAGCGAAGTGCACCCCACCCTGCCCCTCAGACGTCGTGGGGGGTAGGCGTAGGGTTCGCATGTGGCCCCCTAGCCTCCCCAGGAGGCGCGAGGGCGTCCGAGAAGTCCCGCCGCCCTCTGAGCAGGCCTTCTCCTTCTCATGTCTCCCACTCCTGGGGAGGGCGGGAGGAGGACAAGGAGCGAGAGGGGGAGGGGGAGGAGGAGGAGGAGGAGGAGGAGGAGGAGGAGGAGGAGGAGGAGGAGGAGGACGAGGAGAAGTAGGAGGAGGAGGAGGAGGAGAAGGAGGAGGAGGAGGAGGAGGAGGAGGATGCCTTCTCCTTCTCACCTTCTCCCCCTCGCGCGCCGCCCACGGAGGCCCCCACTGGACGGCACGCGGCGCCGATGCGCCGCGTGCTCTCCGCGCGGCGGGCCCGCCGCGCCTCCGGCGAGGCCGGGCAGCCCTCCGAGGCGCCGCCGGGCTTGGAGGAGGAGCCTCTCAAACGACACGAAGATCGGGACAACATCGGATCGGGATAACTCGAAATCTCTGAGAAGCGGCGGGTTTGGAGGACGTGTTGGGCGCCGCGGCCGCTCCAGAGCGTTCCGGAGCGCTCTGAGAGCGCTCCGGAACGCTCTGGAGCGATTTATCCCGATCGTAGCCCTGTTTTAGCTTCGGGTCAAGCAGTGGCGAAGCGTCCCGGCTCGCCTATAGCCCCACCAAACAATGTTCTGAGGACCTGTTGTGGTTCCCACGAGATGTTCTCAGAACCTTCCTGGCGGAGCCTGTCTTGTTTTAGCACATCGGGTTTATGTTCTAAGAACATTGTTTTTGTACTTAGAACATTGTTGGGTTCTGAGAACATTTCGTGGTATGACTATAGGAATACCGGGACGGTCGGTCCCTGCTCAATCGGGGGTCTCGGCCACAAGCAAGAAGGACTTTTCGCGGGAGCGGCCTCTGGTGCTGGCCCAGCGGACGGTCCCCCGATCGCCGAACGCGACACGGCAGCAGCGTCCTGGGCTCAGGGGGTCGACCCAGAAGTCGTGTCGGCAGCTCTGAGATTCTGACGGTGTAATTTTTTCGAGCCGGGCGTCTGTACCCAAGTTCGCTCCCCGGGACCCTGACAGATCGATCCGGCTCAAAAATCGGGAGTCTGGACACGAGGGTCAATGAAAACGGGGGTCAGCCAGGGCACCGGATCCTGCAGGATCCTGCGAAGACCCCCGTTGGCTGACCCGGGTTAGCGAACGCTCGTGGCCGCGAGGCGGCCGCGCATATCGGCTGACCCGGGCTTGCGAAGACCTGCGCTGCAGTTTTTCTTTCCTGCATTGCAGTTTTTTGGTTCCTTGCTGACCCGGGTCTGGATTGACCCAGGCCAGGAGATCCCCGACAACAAAAAAACGCAGGAAGATGAGGTCTAGGGTTAAGTCGGGCCTGTCCCCCTACAGGGGGATTTTCGACGAATGATAAAAAATACACCCAAAATAGTCCCCCCCCAAAAATAGTCTGGGGACTATTGTTTGGAACATTGCTTGATTTTTGTTGGGGCATTTTTTTATTATTTTTAATTTTCCGTCGAAAATTCCCCTGTAGGGGGACACGCCCGACATAAGTCTAGGGTTCCGGGCGTCATTCTTTCACGACGTCTCAACGCTTCCGGCCGTGCGGGGCCAAGGGGGTCCCCCTGATCCTACCAGACTGGAACATGTCCCTATCCCTATGCGCTGGGCACCTCCGCATCACGATGCCAATCCTAGGCATTCTCTTCTTTTTTGACGGCGCATCCCTAAGATTGTCGTCGCCTTTTGGCGTGTCGATCTTAGGGATAGGGATACGTTCGAGGCTGGTAATGAGCACCGTGCGCGATGCGGTATAATAGCAGCGCCTGGGGCGCCCCGTGCGTGGGTCCCCCGCGGTCCCAGGGGAAAGCTGCGCACCAAGGGTCACGCTTGCCCTGGAGGGTGGGCTGTCCCTCTACAGGGGGATCTCCAAAAATAGACAAAAAATAGTCAGGGGATGATTGTTTGAGCATTTGTTTCCATTTGGGGGCATTTTTGGACTATACATATCTATCTATCTATCTACCTACCTACCTACCTACCTACCTACCTATCTATCTATCTATCTATCTATCTATCTATCTATCTATTTATATATTTATAATTTTTCGTCCAAAATCCCCCTGTAGGGGGGCAGGCCCGACTCAAACCCAGGGTCACTCTAGCGTGTAGCCGGTCAGGGGGCGACCAAGGCGTTGGTTTGGCAATCTTTTGTGGGTCGTCTTCGTTTTCTCATGGTTGTCGTGGCATCGCTCGGACGTGCATTTTTGCTCGGCGAGGACCACCGAAGAGCATCCTAGATCATCTAGCAAGAAAAACACGCACACAACCGAAAAACGCACAGGGAATGGACGTCCGAGCGACGGCAAGTTGTTGTCTCGTGCTCATGCTGGGGCCCACCGTTTTGGCCAATCGCGGCTTCGGATTGGCTCCAGCGCGCTGCTTTGGGCCAGCGGTCGGGCTGTCTGCGCTGGAACACTCATCGGAGAGAGAGAGAGAGAGAGAGAAAAAAAAAAAAAAAAAAAAAGCGAAACGAGCACGCAAGAAACGCTGCTTTGGGCACGCACAGCCTCGAGGCATCGTCGGACACGACGGCCGCGCCGCCCTGGGCCCCCGCTTGTCTTGCGGCGCCGCTCCTCCGAGCCGGGCCGATCCGTGGGGGCCCGATAATGGGGGGCCCAACGCCCGGGGGCGAGAACCGAGGCTCTCCAGGAGCTCCCAGTCCTCGGGGGCGGCAAAGAGGGGGGGGTGACTAGGGGGGGGTGGATATCATGGCGGGGCACATGATATCTCTCCAGATTTCGTGCCGCCTCGTCTTGTTTCATGGCGTCCCTGGCCCCCCCGGCTGGGCCGCGCACGTGCCGCCGGTCATGATTTGCACCCCCCCCTCTTGGACACCCCCCTCTTGGCCGCCCCCGACCAGTTCGCGATGTCCAGATTTCTTCCGTAAGCGATCGTTTTTTGCTTCGTTGTTTTGCCGATCGGCGCAGGCCCTCGCACCCAACCTCTTCCCCTCCCCACCATTCGAGGGTGGATAGACCTCCTACCCTGACACGTCGATTAAGGAATTGGCCGTTTTCGGTTCGCGGGAGGGCGTCGCGGTCGTCATTTTTGCGGGTCCAGGTCCGTCGGTTTCGGTCCCAGGCCGTTTTCATTGAGGGGAGGTTTGTCCACCGCCGAACCATGGAGTAGATCTTGGCTGTTTTTTGGCGCCTGCTTCGAGCAGGCGGGGTCTCCCCCCGTGGGACGCAGCGCTGCAAACAGTCGCATCAAGCAGAGGTCCGGAGCCAGACCCCCTCCCTTCCCCCCCTTTCCGCCCAAGGTCGAAACGCCGAATAAGAAAACGTTCACTACGGGGTCCACGGAAGTCCTGACCTTTTTTGGGGGGCCCAAAAATACACACCGCCACCACCTCCCTCCCCACCTCCCTCTCGCTGGAAAGAGGAGAGAGGAGGAATCGACGTGGTGGTGGTGTACATGCTTTGGGCCTTTTCCTGGGGACCAGTTCTTCATCCTGAGTCGTTTTTTGGCGGCCCATGGGGCCCGGGAAGGGCCCCCGGGGCCCAGTACGGCCAACCATCTCCCGCCCTGATGTTATGCTTCACGACGCGAGCATCCCACATAGCTCGCAGCCCACAGCGCTGTTTCGGTCTTTACAACAGGAGCTCGACCGCATGAAATCGTGCACAAGACACCCAGCCCTGAGACCCCAGGGCGTCCCTTGGTTCTCGGTGTGGGAGCGCCGCGCTATCCATGGCAGAACCATCGGGACCAAAGAAACCCAGGGCACCCTGGAGGCAAGCAGGCAAGCAGGGTGTTTCTTGGCATGGGTTTCCACCGTAGCCTTGGGTCGGGCATGTCCCTCTACAGAAAAAATATACAAACATAGTCAAAACATAGTCCGAGGACGACTTTTTGATTATTGTCGGAAACGGGAACATGTACATTACCAGTGGCGGGTTGTGTTTTCAATCCCGCGACTTTTTGAGGGTCGGGGACGACGTCGGGGTGGTGTGGTGTATACTTTTCCCCCGTTTTCCAAGGGAAACAACGACAAATGTTCACACCAGGATCCCGTATACACCAACATCCGCGTTCCTGTGCGAATTGTTGCGCAGGGTCAGGACAAGCGTCGGTGTATAAAGTTCGTTTCTTTTTACTTGTTGGCAATATTTGACAATGTTTGGCTATGTTCGATGTTCCTCCCAACGTCCGCCCGTAGGATCGGAGGTGGATATACCGCCTACCCTGACACGTCGATTCAGGAAATTACCGTTTTCGGTTCGCGAGAGGGCGTCGCGGCCGTCATTTTTGCGGGTCCAGGTCCGCCGGTTTCGGTCCCAGGCCGTTTTCACTGAGGGGAGGTTTACTAAAGGGAGGTCTGTCCACCGCCGATAGGAGGACGTGCCCGAACTAACGTTATATAATGGAGGACGACGATTAATAAATGACCGGGGGTCGTGTTCACGCGGCGGCGCTTGGGATGACGATTCGAAAAAACTGGCCGCGGGCTGGAAGACTATTTTTTAAGCGTTCTCCCCCCCAGTCAGAAGATGAAGCAGAACTAGCAGGAAACTATTTTTGTTGATCGTTCCCCCCAGTCTTTATTAATCGTCATCCCGGGGTTCGAATCTATTGTCCACCTATTGTAACGTTATGCCCGAACTAACGTCATAGCCTGGGAGGAGTCGCGCCGACTGTGTTTTGCTATGTTCGATGTTCATCCCAGCTTTCGGCTTCCAAGGGTCTCGCGTCCTTCCCGCGCGTCCTCACTGGGGTTTTTGACTGGATCGCCCTGGGAGGTGTCGCGCCGGGGGGCGGAGCCCGGCGGCAAGCTGGGCCGCGCGGATGCCTTGCATCCGCGCTGGGCCCCCCCCCCCACGGCGGCGCCTCTCGCGCCGCCCCTGGCGCGCTCCGCGCGCCCGGGAGGGAGGCCCAGCGCAGCTCCAAGAACTCCGCGCAGATCCAAGAGCTCCGCGCGGGGTTCGAATCCATAGAGTTCGTTTCCTTCTATTTGTGTGTGCTATTTGAGTCTGTTTGGCTGTGTTTGATGTTCCTCCCAAGTTCCGCCCCTATAGGAGGGCGTGCCCGAACTAACGTTAAGATAGCCCTGGGAGGAGTCGCGCCGGGGGGCGGAGCCCGGCGGCAGGCTGGGCGGCTTCGCGTGGCCCGCCTTCGAGGCGCGGCCGTGGCCGGCGGAGCCCGACGCCGGCGGCGGCGAGGGGTGCGCCCGGCGCCAGGCGCGGGGGCAGGGAACTCCCGTCGAACAAAAAAACGTTTTTTTGTGTGTTTATAATATATATATATATATATATATATGTGTGTTTTGTATTTTTGGGGGGAATTCCCGTCGACAAAAAAACGTTTTTTTTTGGGGGGGGGATTCCCGTCGACAAAAAAACGTGTTTTTTCCTTTGGGGAATTCCCGTCGACAAAAAAACTGTTTTTGTGTTGTTTGTATTTTTCTGTTTTGATCCGCGGGTCGAGAGCGAGCCTCTTCCGATAGAAGCTAAGCGGGCCGCGCACAGATTTAATTAGCAGAGAAAGGGCGAGAGAAGGCGGGGTTGACAGAGGGAGGAAAACAGAAGGCGGGGCCTCACGTCAAGGCCAGGAAAGGGCAAGGCCCTGGGATCAGGCGGTGCCGAAATCGAAGTGCAGGAACAGGTACGCCTTGGACAGGAACCCGGTGGCGAAGTCCCGGGAGGCGAGAAGCCGGTGGTGGTGCCAAAAAGACGACGAGAAGTTTTCCTATATTTTCGGCCTCTGGGGGCCCTTCCCGGGCCTCTCGGGACCGGCAAAGGACGACTCGGGACGGAAAACGGGTCCCGGGGAACGGGTCCGGACCTCTGGGGCTCGACGTTGTGGAAAAATCGGTGCGTCGGGGGTTGGGGGAGGGGGGTGTTCCAGGCCTTCCAGGTGGGGTCATTATGTTGCATCTTCGGGAGGCCTCGCCTGTCCCCAAAGTTGGTGCCCTTTCTTGTGCCCGACGCGTGCTCGATGCGGACTCGGCGCGGATCTGGCGTGGATTCGACGCGGATTCGGCGCGGATTCAACACGGATGCGACGAGCTTGACAGGGATTCGGCACGGATTCGACGGGGAGTTTTGGGCTGCCACGGGACAGACGGGGCCCCCCGAGGATGCCACAGAAGGGTCAGAGTACGGTTTTGGGGTTGGAAAGAGGTGCTGTGCCGTGTGGCGCCGCCGGCCCGCCGACGCCACGCGATCCCCCACCCTTGGGGGCCAGCGTGCACCGAGAAGCAGCCCTGGCAGCGCGCACAAGAGAAGGGGCCCTCGCGGGGGGATATCGCCCCACGGGAGCAGCGCGCTTCTCTCGGAGGTCGGTGCTGCACACGACCTGTGCAACCCAAGCCGTAGATGGGGGGTCGGATCCCTGACCTTCCAGAGAGCTATTTTTTAGCACTGGAGACCTAAAAACCTAAAAAGCTGAGCGAAACAGCCTAAAACCAAGACGTAGAATAGCTTTGGGATAGGTTTTTAGGTCGGGTGCTATTTTTTAGCCCTCCTGGAAGGTCAGGGATGAGTCCCACCGCGTCGCCGCGGAATCGGCGATGCGGCCCGGTGCGGAGCCGAGTTTCTTCACGCCGGCGTCGCCGAGGCATCGTCGACGCATGGGCGATGCGGCGCGAGCCTCCTGGCCTCTAGGTGCGGGACCTGGCCCAGACATGCTCGCGTCGTGAACAGCACATGCAGTCAGCCCGCATAGGAAGGATGGGTTCAAGCTTCTCAAGGGCACCCTGGCACCCTTACCTCCTCGGTCCATCCTTGGCCACTTTCGTTGGCCGCCCTGCGCTCGAAAAGCCTCGAAACGGCCTTCCAAGGCCCTTGCATCCTTACCTAGGGGGACAAACCATGACATAAACATGAAACTCGGAGGTCCGCGCGGACTTCTCCGATCGGCGCTGGACCCTCCTCCCTGGCGCGCGGAGCGCGTCAGGGGCGGCGCCGGAGGCGCCGCCAGGGGGTCCAGCGCCGATCCGAGAAATCCGCGCGGACCTCCGAGTCTTTGAGTATTTTTTTTATGGCATTGTTCGTTCCCCTGATATCCAAGACCCTTGCAGCCTTGTCGCGCGTCCTCATGATGTGGGTCGACTGTGCGACTGCAGGTTTTTTGCCGTGTCGTCGGGCTCGTCTGGGGCTCCTTGCCGAGGGCCCCGGGAGAAGAATCGTCAACAAGTAACGGCCCGTGAGGAGGCACAGGCCCTGGGGGGAAGGAGTCGAGACTTCCAGGGGCCCCGTGTGAAAGAAGGAACTGGGTGGTGCGTGTGGGCCAAAAGATGCGAGGTAGGTTCGTTTGCCTCTTTCTCGAGGGTGTTCTGTGATCGTTCTTTGATTCCTTGTTCTGCCGATCGGCGCGGGCCCTCGCACCCCCCCTCCTCTCCCCCTCTCCCTCCCGTGGAGTAGCTGTTGGTCGTTTTGGGGGGCGCCTGTTTCAGGCAGGTGGGGTCTCCCCCATGGGACGGGCTGGTGGTGCAAGCAGTGGCACTCAGCAGAGGTCCAGAGCCAGACCCCCCCCCCCTCCACCCCCCCTTCCCGGCCCCATGTCGAAACGCTGAATACAGTCAAAAACCTTGATAAGGACGCGCGACTTTGCTCAGGGTACCCTTGCGTCCTTGCTCTTCCTTGCCCTTGCGGCTCGTCCTTGGCCTCTTTCGTCCGTGTTCTCGTCGTCCGCCGCCCCCAAAAATCCCAACTGCGGCTTCCAGGGGTCTTGCGTCCTTGCCGCGCGTCCTCATTTGGGTTTTTGACTGCATAGAATGGAACGTTGACCAGAGGCCAGCAACATATGTACGCGTACGCGGTTAGCTTCCCCTGGAGGGCGTTTGAACGAGGACGTTCGTGCACTCAAGACCGCGGAGGGCGTACATGTACATATGTCGTTGCTCGCTAAGTTGACGAGCGGAGACCTCCGGAGGCCTCGTGCGACAAGGAACTGGGCATCCGCACTCCGGGAGGGCGCCCGCCGCTGCATTCTTTTTTTCCGCACGGGGCGTGCTCGCCCAGACTCGGGCACCCCTTCCCCCTCGCCCTCCTGCTCCTCCTCCTCCTCCTCCTCCTCCTCCTCCTCCTCCTCCTCCTCCTCCTCCTCCTCCTCCTCCTCCTCCTCCTCCTCCTCCTCCTCCTCCTCCTCCTCCTCATCCTCATCCTCCTCCTCCTCCGATCACTCTATCCTCCCACTCTTGAGACCCATGGGTCATCGCAGATCGATCCGACCCGAGAGATGACGCAGAGGGGTGGGGGCCAGGGCTCCGGTCGTGATCTTTCGCGATGTCGGATTTATTTGTTTGTTTCGCGACGTCGGATCTCGGGTAACCTTCTTCGCGACGTCGGATCTCGGGTAACCTTCTATGGCGGGGGCCCATGCCAAGAAACACCCTGCTTGCCTCCAGGGTGCCCTGTGGGTTTCTTGGATTTCGATGGTTTCCCTGTGGGAAGCGTGACGTTCCCACACCAAAAATCAATGGACATCCTGGGGTCTCAGGGTTGGGTTTCTTGTGGAAGGTTTCTTGTGGTCTAGCCCTACTGTAGGGCTCCGGTTGTGATTGTTCGCGATATTGGATTTCTTTTTCGCGACGTCCGATCTCTGGTACACCCTCACCCTGCCGAGTCGCGAGTCGTTTTTTTTGTTCGGTTCTCGTGAGGGCTTGGCGGGGCCGCATTTTGCTGCGGGCTTGCGCCCGCTGGATCTGGTCTTGGGTTGGTGCCAATCCATGAATCACAGGGTGAAAATGCCTACGCCGCTTCCGCGTCCTCGCGAAACCAAGTCATGCCACGCGCCTCCTCGTCAAGCAGCCTGACCGTCGCGGGCCACCACACGGGTAGTCTTGGTATCGTTCTGTTTATGCTTGCAAGCGAGAGGGGGCAAAAGCGAGTTTCCGCGGTGAGCGAGGGGGGAACTGAGAAGGAGAAG